ATCCTAGGCTAGCCTCCTTGTAAATACTTTGGAAATCAATATAGAGTGAGCCTTTTGTGCCTTTATATTTCCTTAGTCTCTCTTAGTCTAAATTCGTCCAAGAACCCTGCTTATCTCCATCTTGAGAGAAAACCCTAGAAGTGGCCTTCATCACCCATGGAGTGAGCCAAACCCTAGAGTACCATTTGAAGGCTTTCATCAAACACCTTTCCCTCATCCTCCACTTTCATCCATTCTTCCATAAAACACTCCCCTTGAAGAGCTTTGATCCAAGGAGTCAAGGAGTCCTTCATCTTGCTCACAATGCAACAAGGCTTCCATCATATGGTGCTTGCGTGAGTTGGTAGAGTGAATGCACCATGGAAGTGCATTGCATTCTCACTTAGCAAGGGATAACTCACTCAACAAGCCTTCATCTCTAGTAGGCATAAACCCATAAAAGTGTATTTTCGCTTAGCGACACATTGGTCACTCCGCGAAAATACTTGAACATATGTATAGGTGTTGAAGCTACGTCAGGTGTCATGAGCGTAATTGGGAAAGCTTTGTTCGTTGTTATGACCTAGTGTTTCGCTTAACAAGCCATAGCTCGCTTAGCGAGAGGTGACAACAAAAAATTATATTTGTTCAACGAGCCATAGTTTGCACATAGAGAGGATAAGTCAAAAAGTTTTGACCATCAAGCGAAAGAAGCTAGGTCAATAATAAGGTACCATAATTTGGTCCCCTAGCAAGCTAAAGCTTGCTTAGAGAAAATATATTTTCATAAACTTTAAGTTAGAAGACTTGTGTTGTTTAAGGTGTATTACTTGAGGGTTGTATGTGCATATATATTAAGTTGCCATGATGAATGATGACGACCTATGATGAGTTGAGTTACTTGGTGTTGAGTTGTTATATGTTTCTTAATTTAAAACGTTGTAAGGTTGTTACGTTCTTTTAAATTGAGTAGATGTTAAGTTGATTTATTTATTAAGTTCTTGTGAGAAGTTGGTTATCCATTTTCATGTTTTCTAAGTTCAAAGTTGTTTTGGTATTGCCTAAAAGTCCCACATCGCTTAAGAATCGAGGCTAAAAATAATTTATAAACATATATTAATATTTTATTTTATTGTGTAATTTCTTTCATTTTATGATAAAATTGTCTTAATTATTTTTATTATAATATACTTTATTTTTAGACCGAAAGATTTATTAATTTATTCATTAAAGATGTCTCATCACATCATATTCGCCTATTTTAATTCAACTCAAACATTATTAATAACAAGATCAATAATTTTGCAACATACAACATATAATACGACTCACCCGTCTTGTTTACAACTCATCAATCATGCAAAATTACCCACCCAAACAACACCAATCAACCTAAGCACCTAAAACAACTTAACCAATGCTGATAGCTTGACCCCTCTTCACTAAAACAGCCATATCTGGAGTTCTAGAACTCCTTTTTGGGTGATTCCAGCGCCATTGGAAAGCTAAGATCCAAGGCTACAACTTTCATAAAGACTACAAAGTTCAATTTTGAAATCACAAAGGCGCTCAGCGCCTCCAAAGCGCTCAACGCTTTACCTCCAGAGATTCTCCTCTAGCTCTCTGCCCCCAAAGCGCTCAGCGCTTTAAAACGGCTCAGCTGTTTGGTTCCAGGTGGATCTCTGCTCCCCCAGCGCTCAGCGCCTTAAAACGGCTCAGCCGTTTGGTTCCAGAAACTCTTCCCTGTCACGAAACTCCCAAAGGGCTCAGCCGTTCAAAACGGCTCAGCCGTTTGTGACAACAAACACAATCCCTCCACCATTTTTGAACAACAATCCTGCAAAAACAAGAAATCCAAGCACATGCAATCCACCCAAAACACCCCATTTTCATCCAACAACCCAAAAATCAATTCTTTTTCAACATGCAACCATGAAAACATCAAAACCCCAAATTTTCACTATTACTCCAAAACCCCGAAAACCTTAATTTCATCATTCTCAACCAAAAGTCACCAAACATCAAACAACTAAGGAGTTCTTAGAACTCTCTTTAAACCAAAAACTCAGCAAAACCTAGCTTCCCTTACCTCAGTTCAACGGCTCCGAGCTTCAGGAAATGACAAGGAAGAAAAAAGAGAAATGGAGAAGAAGAACGACGACCGGAGAAGAAGAACAAGCTTCACGCCCACAGCTAGCTCCAAAAGCTACTACTCAGCACCTAAGCTCAAGAAGATCACCACAAGGAATCAGAAATGAGCAGGGGATTTGGGGAAGAAAAGTATGAGAGTGAGTGAGAGTTCGGGAAAAAGGAAAGAAAAGACCAGGGACCTCACAGATATAATATGTTGATATATTGTTAAAAAGTAAATATAAACTACGGTAACACTTTTTATATGTGACTATGTATAAAGTTTATTGTAATAATTGTTTTTTATATCTAATATGTTAAAATATATTAATATTTTATTTTATTGTGTAATTTCTTTCATTTTATGATAAAATTGTCTTAATTATTTTTATTATAATATACTTTATTTTTAGACCGAAAGATTTATTAATTTATTCATTAAAGATGTCATAATTTAGTTTATAAATATAAGTTATTTTTTAATTTTTATTTTAGTTTTTAATCCTTTTGATCTTGTATATATATATTGTGTGTTGGTAAGAGAAGACCCAAATTAAGAAGAATGAGAGTAATTCAAATATTAACAAAAGTGTTTCAACGGAATTCTCAACAACACCCTCCCTCCTTAACCCACCGAGACATCTTTTCAAGGACAAAATTATGACAGTTAAGTGAGCGCCAAGGAAGACAATACCTTAGACATGGTGACCCTAATGATGCTAATGGACTTACTGTCAGAACATTTGCATTAGAAGGAGAGCTAAGGGCACTTTTGCCCTTAGCCTAAATTGGGTGGGGGTTTGATATGACTAAAAGTCCCACATCGTTTAGGAGTTAAGGCCAAGGGTCATTTATAAACACCCTTCGTCCTTAATCCAGTAAAGCACATTTCATGGACAAAACTATGATGACCCAACAAGCGCAAAAACAGACAATATCTTAGATGTGGTGGCTCTAACAATGTCCACTAACTTACGAGCAAAACATTGGTGTTAAAAGAAGGGTCTAGACCACTCTTACCCCTTAATCTTGATTGGGGGATTTGTTTCAGTACCTAAAAACCTCATATTGCTTAGGAATCAATGTTAAGGGTAGTTTATAAATCCCCTCCCTCCTTAACCGATTGAGATGCCTTTTCAAGGACAAAATCATAATAACCAAGTGGATGCCAAAGAGGACAATACCTCGAAAATGGTGACCCTATCGATGCCAATGGACTTATGACTAGAATATTGGTGTTAGAAGTAGGGCCCAAGCCACTCTTACCCTTTAGCCTCAACTAGGGGCTTGTTTCAATATGCTTAAAAGTCTCACATCACTTAGGAATCGAGGCTAAGGGTGGCTTATAAACATCTTCCTCCTTAACCATGGAGGTGCCTTTTCAAGGACAAAATTGTAACAACCCAACGAGTACCAAAACAGATAATACCTTGAATGTAGCGGCTCTAATAATGCCAACAGACTTACTATTGGAACATTGGTGTTAGAAGGAAGACGGCCCAGACCAGTCTTACCCCTTAACCTCAACTAGGGGCATGTTTTGGTATGCATCAAAGTCTTATATTGCTTAGGAATCAAAGCTAAGGGTAGACAGAAATTGATGAAAAATTAGAGGGGAACTGAGTTGTTTTTAAGTTAAAAGATCCCATTATGCAGATCTGAGTCGTGGTGCTCTAAGAGTCTAATTTTAAAAAATCCTAGTGAGAGAGTTGGCTCCTAGAAGGATTGCTTCTTCTGAAAATTTGTCCCTTTTAAGATTTGTAAGTTGAAAATGATATAGGGTTAAACTAAGTCATACTTGACAAAAGTGGAAAACAAGTAAAGCATGAAGTTGAGGGTCACAATTTCAAATTGAGTGCTGGAAAAGTGCGAATTATTTTGAGGTAGGTGATAGGACAATCCCATTTAGGACTTGGTTAATGTATACTAATGATGTGCTAGGCTCACACTTAAAAGTTCACTTTATTTCATAAGGATTATGTCAAATTGAACAAAAATTTATTTCTTGGTTAGAGTTTTATTTTTTGCTTTTTAGTGAGATTTTTGTTCTATTATAAATTTGGCAAGTTTAAAGATGTCAAAAGATTAAAATGAGAAGTTATTAGTGATTAAAGTGAAGGTTTGAAATGATCTTAAGGAATTTGTACTTAATGATAATAGATTTCTATGATAGAAATCATATGATGCAAAGGTACAGGTTGGAAATTGGGATGATTGTAATTCATTTATGTCAAAACCTTAATCTTATGCATGGCTTTTATTTTGAGCATTTGAAGTGAAACTTAAAAGGTGTTATTGTCAATTCGATTAATTATCACTTAGGTATAATTTAAAACAAAAAACAAAATATAAAAATTGCACTTGGGTCCTTGAAAACATTTTTATTCATTATTTTAGTAGATATCACAAATATCCTCTTTGATGCAATTATATATCAAATTCTCAAATTCAAAATTACTAATTAAATTGTAATAATTTTTATTCTAATTTCTATAGATTAAAAAATTATAATAATTTTACATCAATTGAATCAATCATGCATTCAGCAAATTATTTATTATTTAAAAACGTGAAGACCTATGGGATACTCATCCCGTCTTTATAAGCTTCGTAACAAAAAAAATCTACTAGTTTTTCCTTTGACAAAACCAATCATTATTATTTTTACACCGGCCAATCATTAGTTAAAACATACCAAATTAATCACCAATATAATAAATGACGTAATAATGTTGTATATATATATAATTTTATTTTTATACATCTGTCTAAATTTTTCTTAATAAAAATAAAAATATATAATTTTTAAAAAATAATAAAAACATTTAACATTTTTCTATATTTAAGAAGTAATCCCATTAGATATGGAATTACACTGTAGATGTTTTACATTTTACTCGTACAATGAATCCTGGTGTGATTGTGATTATATTGTGAAGCCCCATGGCCCAACCTGTGGACTCCGGTGTTTGATGGTTCCGGGTCGAAGATCCCGATCCCGGCTTTCCCGTATGCTCTCCATTTCACGAGCAACAACAAGACAAAACCTGTTTGTTCTCACTCCAATTCTCAGATCCCAACGAAAAGAGCCACACTCGTCGCATTAGCATAACACCATCGCCGAACTCACTCGAATCGCAATCGTAATGTGATGGATTCCCCACATTCGCAGCAAACGTGGGGAAGGTCACCCACCACCACCTCCTCCTCCTCTCTCTCCAAATCCAATTCCAATTCAAATTCCGACACCATCCAAAGCCTCTCCTCGATCCTCAACAACCCCCACGCCTCCGACGCCGCCTCCTGGGTCGGCTGGTGGTCCTCCTCCACCGCCGTCGCGCCGCCCGAATTCGCCCCCATAGCCGCCGCCAAGGCCGCCTCCGAGGTCTCCCGATCCGACTTCCTCCCCTACCTCGCCCCCATCGCCGACGCCTACCACCGCTTCGAGGACATCCGCAACCACGCCTCCAGGGAGATCAACGACGTCGCCAAGGCCGCAGCCGCCGATGGCGGCG